TCGCGGCAAGTATCATAAAAGTAGAAGAGTTTAGTATTTTTTCCCAGCCTTCACGGTGGTCTCGCGAGGGTAGAGCGAGAGAAGGAAGAGGCAGCCGCCGAGGAACACCCTCTTTGCTTTTCATTTCCTCGGCTTCCACGCGAAGAAATTTATCGACGGAGGCGGATCGGATGGTTGAAATCGCCGTGATCCCACGCACGGAACCCCGCGCTAATTGGCGCGATAATCTTCGCGCATTCCCTCGCGTAAACGCGAAGAAACGGGGACGCGGAATTGCGCGCGTGACTACCACGGGAAACCTGTTCCCGGCGCTCAGGGTCATTCGGCGACGTTGGTCATGGATTTCACGCGATAATTCTAACCTATTTACTAGAAGTCCGATCAGCGTGAGGCTGTCGACGCTGATAACGACCCAGTTAGGGGTTCATTAATTACGTAAGGGTCTTGAGGGGAAATGGTGGGTTTGAAAAATGTCTACGTGACCTTACCTCGGAAGGAAACAAATTTAAAAGTCATTTTTACGTATTATTTTATTACGAGTCGAAGTGTATTCGTGGAAATTGTATAGCAAAAGACAGTCGTGCATAGAAAAGTGTAAACAGTTGATGATAACTAAAAACGCTTCAAAATAAAGGTAATCCGATCCAATTCGAAATATGTTCGCCTGGGGACGAATTACGTTTCGTTATAATACATTATTTTACCTTCAACACTTTCGCCACGGACGAAAATAAGTAGCCGTTCGCCGGGAGCTGCGATTATGATATTTTGTTAATGAACATTTTTTTATAAATATTCTAATATGATTATTTTGAAAAACCGAACATTTGCCGACAAAATGAACACCGAGCACCGAATTGCCGAACAGAAAAAATGAATACTGAAAAATAATAAAAACAACCATATATTTCTCAGTTGGACGCACATGTGCGTCATCCGCAGCGAAAGTGTTAATTATAATACGCACTTTCCACGCACATACGAGCGACAAGGATTTTTACTGAGGAACAAATAAATTAATTCTGAAAGTGAAGCGTCGAAGGAAATTAAATTGGATAAAATCGGTAAATTCTAAAAAGAGGTCCCAAAAATAAGTACTACCACGTTAGATCGTATCACCTCTAATTATTGTATACAAACGAAATTTTAGCCACGTAGGAATTTTCACGATTATTAGTCAAGCAGTGAACGTGTCAAGCGATCTTTTATTTATATACTATTAATAAGGAGCAGCTAAAATCGGGCAAGTCGTTGCTTCCGTATCTGAACGATGCATTCAAGTTGGACGTCCCGTTCGTTATCGAGCACGCGTCGAAACAAGACCGTCCTCTCATTCGATATCGAAGGAAGTTTCGGTGTTTCGTTGTTGGTTTCTCCGAGTCAGTGACGGGACGGGGCCAGTTATGAATTTTATGATTTCGCGTTGCTCGCGGCGAGGGGATCCCGAGGGAGGATAAAGACGAAGGCAGGGCCAGGGACATAGGCACACAGAGAGCCAGGGCCGGCCATTATAGCCGACGGTATGAATTACGACTGTGTGCATGCCAGAGACGTGCAGTCATCGGCCAATGGTCAGCGCCGATAGCCCTACGCTTTTCGACCCTATACTTAACGGATAATCGACGCGGATATATGTACCGCGCTTATTAGCGGATATAATAAGCGGAACCCCGAACTATTCGGTTGCGAATAGCTGCGACGAAGAAATCCTCCTGAAAACTTATCGAAAGAACAAAAATTGTTGACCAGACTGCGGAATTTATGCATTTATGACGTGCTATAGTAGACATACATAAAATGTACATAATGTATACGCATGTTGAATAGAAGTCTACAATTATTATTATAATAGTGTTATTTCATTTTGTACAAGTCCACATGCATATAATAATATAGAAAACATACATAAAATATTAGGTTGTCCCGATAGTTTCTTTCGCGAGTTGCACTCAATTATTTTATGCGGTCGTGTTTATATAAATAGACGATCTAATTTCATAGATATTCATGTTGTAACAGTAATATGGAGCAAAATGAATCGTGCACGATTCAGTTATGTACCATAAAACTTAAAATATTGTGCATGTATTACTTATTAATAAAGCGAAAGAAACTTTTGGGACAACCTAATATAAATGATGCATGATGAATAGAATTATACAATTATTATAATAATACTGTTGTTTCATTTTGCATAAGTGCGCGTTCCTTTTCATTCCGTTTAGTATGTGTTTATTATATTATATTATACAGGGTGTCCCAAAACTCGGGGAGGAGCCGGAAATGGGGGGTAGCTGAGACGATTCTGAACAACAATTTCCTTTGCAAAAATGTCGGATGGGGCTTCGTTAAGGAGATATTAAGCGAAAACCCCGACCAATCAGAGCGCGTAGCCTTCGCTACCGCGGCCGCTCCAACGGTCTACGCGCGCTCTGATTGGTCGGGGTTTTCGCTTAATATCTCCTTAACGAAGCCCCATCCGACATTTTTGCAAAGGAAATTGTTGTTCAGAATCGTCTCAGCTACCCCCCATTTCCGGCTCCTCCCCGAGTTTTGGGACACCCTGTATATTGTATATGTTCTACAATTATTATAATAATACTGTTGTTTCATTTTGCATAAGTGCGCATTCCTTTTGGTTACGCTTAGTATGCGTTTATTATATTAGTTTATGTCATATATGCATAAAATCCATAATCTATTAATAAGAGTACAAGTGCGGATTCCTTTTGATTACGTTTAGTATGTGTTTATTATATTATATTATATATTGTATATGTCCTACAATTATTATAATAATACTGTTATTTCATTTTGCATAAATGCGCATTCCTTTTGGTTACGCTTAGTATGTGTTTATTATATTAGTTTGTCAAATATGCATAAAATCCGTAGTCTAGTAATAAGAGTACAAGAACCTAACTAGCCACGGTAAAACGCAAGTGTTTCGTATGCATACAGTGCGAGATGTTTTAGTATAATAGTCCGCAGCTGATAAAACAATTTGATAAATACTGGTGCATCTTTGTTACCGACAGAGTCACTGACTAGAGATTCAGCTATTAGTCTCGAAGACATTTTTCTCAATAAAATACGCAACAATATTTTCCATGGAACTAAATTGAATAATGCATGAAATAATTGCGTGTACTATATATATCGCATATAAGAACTGTATACAAAAATTTGAAAACGGCCATTTGACCGGTCGTGGCAGGTTTAGTGTTAATTCCTTTCGTAAGTGAATTGAACGAACAAATTAATAAACAATGTAACTTTCCTCGTAACTGTACGAAATGTATAAATCGTCGAAGAGGAACGGAAACGATACGCGGCACTGCAGGTGGGATCCGTTTGGTCGTAAACGCGGCGCATAAAGTGTATTCGAATCACAATGGGCCATTCCCATCGCTGAAAATGATTTGCGCGACGGTCGAGGGCTCGGGTCTCCCGTCGA